ATATATATATAACTTAGGTATTATATGCCAAGCTTTATTCTCCTTAAAAACCTAACCTCTCTGGGATGAAGAGAGGGCTCAGCAGTTAAGGGCACTTCCAGAAGACCCACATAGCAGCTAAGATCTGTCCATAACTCCAGTTCCAGGGGAACCCAGTAGCCTCTTCTGACCTTTATGGGCATTGCCTGACAGAGGTGCACTTACATACATGTAGACAGTACTCTCATACACATAAAATAAAAATAGTAAGGAGCTGGAGAGATGGCTCAAAGATTAAGAGCACTGGCTGCTCTTCTAGAGGACCTGGGTTTGATTCCCAGTACCCACATGGTGACTAACAACCATCTGTAACTCCAGTTCCAGGGGATCTGACACCCTCTTCTGACTTCTGCGGGCATTGTACAACATGGGTACACTTACATACAAGCAATACACTCATAAAATAATAGATAAAATAAAGAATAATAAATAAAAAAGTAGTGTCTCAGGGACATATGATAGATGGGCAATGGTGTGACTGTAGCAAAGCCCAGATGAGCCTTTGGAGAAGCAGAAAAGTATTTGTTGGGCATTGTACAGAGGACATGACTGCTGATAAGCTTCAACAGTTCATCTGTCAATATGAAGAAGAAGTAGATGTCTTTATTCCCAAACCATTCAGGGCTTTTGCTTTTGTTACATTTTCAGATGATGGGTTGCCCAGTCTCTTTGTGGAGGGTACTTGATTATTAAAGGAATCAGCACACATATCCAATACTGAACCTAAGCATAATAGCAATAGACAGAAGTGAAAGATTTGGTTGTAATCCAGGTGGCTTTGGGAATGAAGGTGGATTTGGTAATAGTAGAGGGGGTGGAGCTGGCTTGAAAAATAACCAGGAGGGTAATATTGGTGGAGAAATGAATTTAGGCACCTTTAACATTAATCCAGCAATGATGGCTTCAACCCAAGAAGCACGGCAGAACAGTTGGGTTATCAGGGACATGTTAGCCAGTCAGCAGAACCAGTTGGGCCCTGGTTATTACATAATAAAGCCAGCGGAATGTGTACGGGAGCCAAATCAGGATGTTGGTTCTGGAAATAACTCTCACAGTGTTTCTAATTCTGGTGGCCCTCTTGGTTGGGGGTCAGCATCAAATGCAGGGTCAGGCAGGGATTTTAATGTAGGGTTTGGCTCAAGCATGGATTCATGAATTTGTTAAGGGAATGGCTGGGGAATGTAGACAGTGGGTTATGGTTGGTTCATCAGTCTGTGGTCAGTTGATTGGTATAGAATGGTGGGAATTCAAATTTTTCTAAATTCATGATAAATATGCTGTAAAATATGTATGTACTAAAAATTTTCAAAATTGGTTTGTTCAGTGTGGAGTATATTCAGCAGTATTTTGACATTTTTCTTTAGAAAAAGAACTAAAGGAATTTACGGTTTGTTACATAAAAAGTTAAAATAATGAGTGGCTAAAAGTGAATTGTTTGCTTGATTTGTAAACCAACAATATCTGTAATACTCTATCATTGAATTTGTTAAGTCAATTCTTTGCATGTTCAAAGAAGAAACCATTAGTTAGAACTACATTCTTGAGCAGGGAGTGGTGGCACTGGGAAGGTAGAGGCAGGTGGATCTCTGTGAGTTCAAGGCCAGCTTGGCCTACATAGAGAGTTCTGGGTCAGCAGGGGCTACAGGGAGACCCTGTCTCAAAAAGACAAAAAAAAAAACAAACCTACATTCTTTTCTCTTTACTTTGAGTCCCACATGGATCTTTCCCTTAGGAAAGTCTGTTTTGGGGAGATCATGATTGATGTCACAATGTTTGATTCTTTCAGTTTGTTTTGTAATGCTTGTTTTCCTTCATATACAAAAGTACAACATGAAGCTTCATTTAGTCTCTGCAATTCATCTCATTTCAAATGTTTATAGAAGAAGCAGTTCTTTGAAAGTAGTGCTGTAAATATTCTGCCATAGGTATACTTCTGTCTACATGCTTTGTCATCCAAGAATTTGCCATCATGCTGCATAGGCTGCATCTTTAACGGTAGGTGTTCCATTTTTATCTGCTACTCTTTATTTCATGGAATGGTATCAATGCTATGAACCCAAGATTGTGATATGGAACAAGAAGGCTTTTTGAACTTTTAGAACCTTGTGTGGGATTGATGGTGGTGCTGAGGCAGGAAAGACTAGTATGAGCAAGAAAAGGAGAGAGTACATGCAGAGACTTGGTGGTACAAGATGCGTATTTTTTAACTTAGCAAGATGTGTCACCCGATCCTGTGTGTGGTTTTGGTGGGAGAGTGTGCAGAGAGCAATGATAGCAAATAATGTACAAATGGTTTTGTATTCAAAGGGCATCCACATCTCTGCGAGTTCAAGACCAGCCTGGTCTATATAGTGAGTTCAAGGTCAGCTAGGGATGCATAGTGAGATGCTATCTAAAATCAAAACCCAAACCAAAAACCAAACAACAAAAACGAAAAGAGAAAAAGGAGAGAGTGAGCCGAGCACTATCATTCATTTCTCTGGGTTTCCTGACTGGGGACACTGTGAGCAGCTGCCTCAAGCTCCTGGCAGGATGACTTTCTCGCAAGAATGGACTCTGAAACTGTGAGCCAAAATAAATGCTTCCTTCTTTAAGTTGATTCTTGTCAGGTATCTGAACATAGAAAGATGAAAAATAACTAATTCAGATGTACTGAAGATGGTAGCTAAGCCAAGGCTTGGACTTCAACAACTCCAGTAACATCAGGGGTTGTACACTCATGATGTCTAGTCATTGTTTTTCATAGTATTCGCTGGAACATCTACGAAGAGAAATTTCCACTTGTCAACAATAGATGCCCTTGAGTTGTAATTTTTAAAAGGAAAACTGAACAATTTGTCAAAAGTACAAGAAAAATTGAATTCAAAAGTTTTCTTTTTGAACTATTTCCAGGATTTCTAAGTTCTTTTTTTTTACTCTAGTAATGCAATTATCTGCAATTTCCAAAATCCCAAAAGGTTCAAGAAACCTAATTTGTAATTTAAAAAAATCAAAATTTCTAAAAGTTGAAGGTTTTAAAAACTAACATATTGGCTAAACAAATTTAACCAAACTTGCACATTTGGTAGGCAAAACTGACTTATAAGAAATTATTTCTACATGTATTTAATTTACTTGTAAATATTCATATATTGCTGAAGAAATATTAAGGTGGATTATAAGGTTTTGATCCACATTTTTGAAGGTGCTATGCATTTACTTTTGTAAGCCCAAAGTATGGAGCTGAAGAGATGACTCAGCAGTTAAGAGAACTGGCTGCTCTTGCAGAAGACCTGGGCTAAAATTTCAGCACCCACATGGCAGCTAACAACCATTGGTACCACCGATTCCAGGAAAATTCAACACTTTCTCCTGACTTCTGCAGGCATTTTACAACACAGTTGTAGTTACATACATGTAGGCAAAACACTCATACACATAAAATAAAAATACTAAATAAAATATTTTTAAAAGTAACAAAATATTTTCAGTTTTGCTGTTTTTGCTGTGCTAAGATCAAACCCAGGTCCTTGTGCATACTAATGATCAACAATTTTGAATCTGAAATACATTTGGTCTTAAGTATTTCAAATAAAGGATGAACTGTATGAAAAATATAGTAGCTGCCATTCATTAAATATTCCTTATCATGTAATGTTCTAATACTTTATGCTTAAAAAACTCAATCTTCGCCAGCCCACAAAGAAGTAGGCTCAACTGCAAAGCCTATTTTAGTAAACTGAGGCATGCCATGGTTAGATGATTTGCCAAAAGGACACTGAAAATGTCAAAGGGATTTGAATCAAGGGAGCCAGACTGCATTGTTTGTGTTACCTGAGATTTTTATCTGTTTGAAACCACCATATTATTCTCCCAGCCTTCCATGACTCCTGTCTCATGTCTAATCATCTCCCATGTACCACATTTCACCCATCTAGAAGACTTATTCCAAATACACTTTAAAAAATATTTTTTTATTTTTATTTTATGTGTATGTGTGTATTGCCTGCATGTAGGTAAGTGCACCTGTGTCATGCAATGCCCGCAGAGGACAGAAGAGACTGTCAGGTCCCCTGGAGCTGTAGTTAAGGACAGTGGTTAGCTTCCATGTGGGTGCTGGGATTCAAACCCAGGTCTTCTGCAAGAACAGGCAGTGTTCTTTATAGCTGAGCCATCTCTCCAGCCCCCCAAATACACTTTTAACTTTTCTTTTTTGTTCATATTGCTAAGTCATATTTTTAAAAGAAAAATGACAACCCTTGTATAGATAGGATATTTAGCATGTGTCAATTAAAAATTTATTAATGAAGGAACCGGTATCATTAAAATTTTTTTTATTCTTCCTTAGTAAAAGCAGATTATTTTAACATATATTATGGAACAAGCACTACACTGAATTATTTATGTGTATTAATTCACTATATAATCACTCTGAAAATAATAGCAAGCTAGATCTAGAACTTGTAGTCTTACCTACAATTCTGTAAAG